TGGAGAAGGGATTGCGGTGTGGCCATCCCCCCTGGGGGGTGATTTCTCGCTTTCTGTCTCTATGTCTCTCTCTGTCTGGCGAGCGCACACGCCCTATAGCGAAAACCTCTCCAAAAAAAAAATATTTTATTGATATTTATTTATTTATTTTAATTTGACCACAGAGTGACAGAGTGGCAGAGAAAGAGAGAGAAAAAATGAGAAAGCAAGCCGTCCGGTCCAAGACTCAAACGACAGTCAGCCATGTCCAGTGCCCTTAGCCACTATGCCACCTGCTGGCCCCAGGATCATATGACTGTTATCTTAATTTCTCTTAATGTAGTGTATTACATTTATTGTTTTGCGTATGTTAAACCATCCTTTCATCTCTGGGATAAAACTTATCTGGTCATGGTGTATAATCTTGATATGCTGTTGGATTCAGCTTGCTAATATCTTGTTGAAAATTTTCACATCAGTATTCATCAGAGATATTGGTCATAGTCTTCTTTTTTTGTTATGTCCTTGTCTGTTTTTGATATCAAGGTGATAGAGACTTCATCAAATGAGTTTGGGAAGATTTCTTCCTTTTGATTCTTTAAGAAAAGTTTGAAAGAGTTGGATTTAGTTCTCTAAAAGTTTTGTAGTGGGACCAGCAGAAGGCATAATAGTTAGGTGGCTGGACTCCATGTAGTCAACCACAGTTTGAGTCCTGGACTCAGCAGTGTGAAACTCATGCTGGGCTTCTGATGTGGCCATCTCCCCTGAGGGTGATTTATTGCTTTCTGTTTCTGTGTCTCTCTACGTCTCTCCATAGCACATGTGCCCTATAGTAAAAAAAAAAAAAATCTCTCCTAAAAAAAAATGGGACCAGCAGATAGTGCGATGGTTACACCACTGGATTCCCATGTGGTTGACCATGGTTCGAGTCCCAGACAGGACAGCTTAAAACACACCAGGCACATATGCATGTGTGCCCAAAATCCTGAGAGGAGAATGGAGAAGAGGTTGCAGCATTGCCACTCCCCATGGGGGTGGTGATTTCTCGCTTTCTGTGTATATGTCTCTCCGGGGAGTGCACATGCCACATCACAAAAATCTCTCAAAAAAAAAAAAAAAAAAAACTTTTGTAGAATTGAGAAGTGAAGCCATCTAGAATAGGGATTTTCTTTATTAGATTTCTTTAAATCAATGATTCAACCTCTTCATATGTTATTGGTCTACTCAGGCTTTCTATTAGGTCGTCAGAAAAGCCATGACTTATTTTTCTATGTAAAAATGTGTCATGACTTTTCTAAGTATCCAATATTTCATCTTGATTCACCCTAGGTAACTTGTACTTGTTCCGAAATTTATCCATCTAATCTAGGTTTTCTAGTTTGTTGGCATATAGCCACTCAAAGTATTCTCTCATAATGTTTTGGATTTCCAATACATTGGTTATAATATTACCAGCTTTATTATTGATTTTATAGTACGCCAACTTGGAAAGGTCATATCTTGCCCCACATTATCTATCACTCTTTTTGAGTAAGAACTATCACCAAGCCCCTTTTGACAGATGAGAAGACTGAGTCTCAGGAAAGTTAGGAAACTTGCCTAGTATGTAGAAGAGCAAGACTGAAACCTAAATATGAAAGTTTCCAATATTTATGCCCCTAACAAGTTCAGACTGTCAATCCTGGGGCAACTAAAGTCTGGGATGCAGGCCAAAGTCAGGGCAAGAGACAAGAGGGTATAGCTATACTTGGTGGTGGGGCTGCATTCTCCTGGAGTTTGCCTGAGCAGGAAGCTTTCTTCTCTAGCCATACTCAAAATGGGAGATTGCTCTTGCCACTGTAGTTCTATTTTGAGAACACTTTGGGACCCTTCAGTTAGCACCCCTCCTCCCCTTAACTTACCCAGACCTACAGGCCAGACTACCCTGAACAGGAGGTTGATCTGCTACAGAGTGGTCAGGATACCACCCAACTGGAAGTCTGGTGGGGAGACATGGTTGAAAGCAAAGTCTTTGACTATGGGGATCAGAGGTCAACTTAGCCAAAGATGGGACAATTTGAGCATCAAAGAGAGTAACTGCACACAGACTGGAACACATCAAATGTGTTAAAACCATGTGTTCATCATTTTTAAACTCATTGATCATCCTTGAAGGATGCAAAGGAAACATAATATTATTTCAGAAACTGGTAAATAAAGCAAAGTATTCAGGTGTTTCCTATATAAATGGTACTCAGGGAGCCCAACCAAAAACTACAACAAAATTACAAAACAATACTTACAATGTAGCTATAGCTATGTATACCAAAGTGCAGGAAAACAGAGAAGACAAACCAAGCTGAATAGTGGGGGACGTATTCATGACAAGGAGAGTGAATAAAGCACACTTGAGCCTTTTTGATAGTAGTTTCAACTTTTTTTTTTAATAAGGTGAATATATTCACATATTTCTTGTAGAATTAAAGAAATTCATTTTAGGGCCAGCAGATGCCGTAGTAGTTACATCACTGGATTCCACATAGCCAACCGTGGTTTGAGTCCTGGACCCAGTGAGTTGAAAATCACATCGGGCACATGTGCATGTGTTCACAAGATCCCTGGAAGTAAATGGAAGAGAAGAGATTGTGGCATGGTCATTCCCCCGGGGGAGGGGGTGATTTCTCACTTTCCCTCTCACTATCTCTGTCTCTCTTTCTCTCTCTGGCAAGAGCATGCACCCTAAGGCATAAACGTCTAAAAGAAAAAAGAAAAAAAAAAAGAAATTCATTTTACTAAAAGAAAAAAAAAGAAGAAAGAAAGAAAGAAAGAGAGAAAGAAAGAGGAGCACATAGTCAAGATCGTGGGAGGAGATTGAAGTGTGATGAGACCCTCTCAAGGGTGACCCTCTCTCAAAATAAATTAAGGCTTTTCATTCTTTTTTATTATTTTTTAAAATTTGCCAGAGAACATATGTGTGCACCAGAGACAGAGAGAACCAGAAGAGGGAAAAAGTGTCTCACAGGGGAGTGGTCATGTTCCCTTCTCCTCCATTTCTCCATCCTGTCAAGATGTGGGGCTTACACCCATGTGTGTGTGCTATGTTTTTAAGTCACTGTGGCCAGGATTTAAACCACATGGTCAGCGATATGGAGCCCAGCTACCTTAACTACCAGGCCACAAGTCAGCCCAATGAACTGCTTTTTGAAAAAGTAAGGTAAACCATTATGCCATCTCTTGGGACCAGCAGATGGCGTAATCACTACATCTCTAGACTCCCATGTGGTCCACTGTGGTTTGAACCAACATTAATGTAAGACATCAAGACATCAAACCAGGTGTCATGTAAAATGTCATTCTTTTAACTTCAATTTTTGTGCCTTTATATCTTAAGTGTGTCTTCTACAAAGTGAGGGTCCTCAACCCCCAGCTACAGACAGGTGCCTGTGTGGCAGCCTCTCCAGCAGTGGAGCAGGCAAGTGTGGCTTTCTCTGTGTTTGCAGCCACTCCATTGTTCGCAGTGGTGAAAATGGGGTGCATGGTGGATGCAGTATGGGGGATCCTCCCTGAGTCCCACCATACGCCCTTGTCCACTGAGGGATTGTCTTCCATGAAGCTGGTTCCTGGTGCCTAGAAGGTAGAATACTGCTGCTCTAAAGTACAGTAACTGCCTGGGTTATGTTTGTCTTTTACTCTTTGGGTTTAGTCTATTGATACTTAGGATAATTACCAGCACATTGGAAATCCATTTTTTCATTTTATTTCAGTATCTATATATGCCACTTTTTGTACATAATCTTTCCTCCTCTATTGTTGGTGTTGTGTTTTGTTTTGATTGAGCCCAGTGTCTTTTGTTTCACTTTCTCGTATTCAGTTTCCTCATTCTTGTTTTTCTCCATAATTAGTTCAGAGATTTACACTCCTCTTCACCTTATGCCACATGAGAGAGAGCTGCAAGAAACCCACCCTCTGAGCTTGGCCTGTGTCACTTAGGTTTGGAGAGTTTCAGAACTGGTATGAGATACATCAAGAGAGCAAAGATAAAAAGAAATGAAACTACACTGGAAGAAAGCCGTTTTTCCATCAAGCTGTTTTTTCCGTCAATACGGATGGATAGTCATGTATTTATCCAACACCAGATGTGGGCCAAGCAAGAGGGAGCTGGCATGGAGCCCTTTGTAAACCCTGTCCAGGACCCTAACAGACAAGACAGTCTCCAGACAACAGAAACATCCGCATCCAGGTAGCAGGGAGACATGGCCCTGTGGAAGAGAGGACGGTCAACCCAACAGGATATTTCTGAGAAGCTCAAAAATCCCCCTCAGGGAAACGGACCCTGAACATCTGCCAAGCTCACCGAGCAGTAATTGTTGACCTCAGAGAACCAGCCACACTACAAAGAACACAGCCAGCAGAGTGAAAGAGAAAATCACAGAAGAGCATCAACGGGCGTGCACCCAGTTATTCCTTCAACAGACTTCACACCAGGCAGTTCTTGTTGCATTTCCCCCAATAAAATCCTCTCTTACTGTGCTTTACTTTATTTTGTGAAAATAAGCCTTATTATAAAACAAAATGGAATCTACACACCAAACCCCAAACTCTCCAGCAAAACAAGACCCCCCTTAACATATAAAGTTATTGCTAACAGGACCGTCCTTTCGACTTATTGCTTTTGTCGCTTGTTTCTTGAGAACATGACTCCAATGAGGCCCATGGCTGCCAAGCCCACTCCTGCAATGCCCGCTGCCATGACAACATCTCTGACCTACAACAGAAAAGAGGGTGGGTCAGACACTGTATCAGGAATCTGAGTACAGGCTGTACATTCAACAGGAACATTCAGCTCAGGGACCCTCACATGCCCCTTGGCCTCCCTGGCCAAACCCAAGAGTCAAAAGATATTGGCAGGGAAAAGGTGCAAAGGCTGGTGCAGGAAAGAATCAGTGGATGGAACCAACTGTTCTGGAATTTCCATGTACGCAAGGATGTAGAACTTGATTCACCCTGTGGGTATTTAAAGCACATAAATCCTTGGGAGATGGCTGTGTAACGGGCAGGGAGACAATGCCAGGATGGTCGAGATTCCTCTCCATTGGCCAATGGAGAGCTCTGAAAGTAAGTGAGAAGTCAGGGAAAAATTGTTACTGAGTACTTTGAACAAACTATGACCTCCATGAGGGTGAGCTCAACTGTCTTATTTATCATAGTATCTGCAGAGCATGCAGTTGTTCCTTCTGTGTTCTTTTCTTTTTTTTTTTGAGAGAGAGAGATTTTTGCTATCAGATCAGGTATGTGCGTTCACTGGAGACAGAAACAGTGAGAAAAATCACACACACGCACATCCCTAGGGGGAATGGCCATGCCACAATCCCTTCTCCGTTCTCCTCTTGGGATTTTAGGCACATGCACACCCAGCATGAGTTTCAAGCCACTGGGTCTGAGACTCAAACCTCAGATGACCACATAGGAATCTAGTGCTTTAACTCTCCTGTGTTCTTAAACAAATTAATAGTAGGCCCATACATTGATATCCTCCTCCCCTCTCCCACTTCACCCTATCTCCCTGAGACTTAGCTGCTGGTCCAGCTGGTCCTCCTGAATATCTTATAACCATGACCTTCACCTCATGGGATTGACCTATGGCTGGGCAGGGATATTCCAGAGGTATGATCACCCCTCCCACAATAACATCACAAGGTTAGGGGCACAAAACCCTAAACATACTCTGCTGATTCTGTTAATGGATAAACTAACCTCTACTGTAACCTTCAAGCAATGTATGTATAAACCAGACCCCATCTTGGTGACAGGGAGTCTGCATTGATTTTTATTTGATTTATGATTGTTTTGTTCTTATCATATAAAGCCTGATATTGTGGTTGTCACTGTGCAGTCCATAACATGGTTGTCACTGCTCTGCCTGGCTATCAACAGAATGCTATTTCCCCAATGTAAGTAAACTCATGTCGGGACCACAGTTAGCATAATGGCTATGTCGCTGGACTCCCACGTAGTTGACCGCGGTTCGCGTCCCGGACCCGGTGGCTTCAAACTCACACCAGGTGCATGTGCGTGCATGCCCAAGATCCCGAGAGGAGAATGGAGGAGAAGGGATTGCGGCATGGCCATCCCCCCTGGGGAGTGATTTCTTGCTTTCTGTCTCTCTGTCTCTCTCTGTCTGGTGAGCGCACGCGCCCTATAGTGAAAATCTCTCAAAAAAAAAAAAGTAAACTCATGTCTCCTGCCGAACTGTAGGATATGTTCTTTGGGATCTATAAATAATACAGGCAAGCACTCTCAGATTTGGGGCTCCCCCAGAACAATGACTTTACTATGAATAGAAGTGATTTTATAGCTAAAATTGTTAGACTATCTGACATGTGTTGCTTATTGTAGAAAAAAAAATGTCACAAAAGAAAGAGTAAAATTTGAGGTTAAAAATTGAACATATGTCAAATTTTACTCCCTCCTGAAACCCAACTAAAAATAAAGCAAGGCATTTGTTTTAGGCATAATTCTATGATACAGAAAACACTAAACCTAAAGCAACAATGGGGAAAAACTAAGGATCAACCCTAATTATGCAATGGAATCAGCCAAAAGAATCACATATTAACAACCCTTCTGTCTGGTCCTAAGAGCCAGGCAGAGGCACACCCAGAAGGGGGAGTTGAATTGTCCCCCAGTGCAGATAAATGGAGGAAGTTGTCTATAAAAAAAAAAAACTTTCAACCCCTGGGCCAGGCAGAGGCACACCCAGAAGGGGGAGTTGAGTTGTCCCCCAGTGCAGATGAATGGAGGAAGTTGTCGATAAAAAAAAAACTTTTAACCCCTGGGTGAACAGGTGGTGGCTAAGGCACTAGATCACACATAGCTGGTTTGAGTTCCAGACCGGAAGGCTTAAAAAACATGTGTATGCATGTGTGCCCAAAATCCTGAGAGAAGAAGAGACTATAGCATGGCCATCCCCCCTTGGGGCTGATTTCTCATTTTGCTTCTCTCTTTCTCTCTGTCTCACCAGCAAGCATACATGGTCTATGGCAAAAATCTAAAAGAGAAAACTTAAAAGCGCACCAGAAGTCAGTCAGCTTTTTATTATTACCATATGCTGGCCACTTTAAACAATATCAGTAATAAAACATAGATCCTTGACTTACGATGGTATTACCTCCTGATAAACCCATTATAAGTTGATAATATAAGTCAAAATGTATTTAATACACCTAATCTATTGCACATCATAACTTAGCATTGCCCACCTTAAATGCACCCAGAACACTTACGTTAGCCTACGCTGGGCAAAATCATCGAACACAAAGACTATTGTATAGTAAAGTGTTGAAAATTACATGAGCTATCAATTATATCATTAGCCTGAGAAAAGATAGAATGCTATCACTTATATACCATCATTAAGTCTAATCATTGTAAGTCAGGAAATCTGTGTGTGTGTGAGAGAGAGAGAGAGCGAGCGAGAGAGAGAGAGAGATAGCTGTCAGAAATCCTATGCGTAAGTCAGGAAATCTGTGTGTGTGTGAGAGCGTGAGAGAGAGCGAGAGAGAGAGCTGTCAGAACTCCTATGCAACCAATGTAGAGCAGAGTTTGGAAGTCTTTAATAGTTAGTTGTGTGTATTGCCTAGGCTTATCTGGGCCACAAATGTGACTGGCATAGCTGTGTATAACATCAGGAAAAACAACATAAGTACCAACACGAGGTGTCCAGAACTGATACTCCTTAGGAGCCAGAACTTAGGATAACAAAGTTTGGAAGAGCTATGGATCTGAGGTTTGACAACCAGTCAGTCTTTAAACCATCCTCTAAAAGGTAATCAGGCAGTTCTGTCAAAGCCATAGTTTTGTTGGGATAATTTACTAGTGAACCTGCATAAAATCACTTGTTTCCAGTGCTTTCCTTGCTAAGCTCTGTGTCAGTGTGGGAGAAATGGTTTACGGATAATGGAGGAGGAACAATATGGCTCTAGTTCTTTATAGAACCTCATAGTGTGAGAGCAAATGCTGATGCAACTGGTTCATACAAAAGATACTTTGTCAAGGAGAACAATAACGACCTCGTTGTTTGTGGTCATGCGTTGTATATAGTCAGAGTGTGCTTTAATACAAGAAAGTGGCATCTAGTTAATCCTGCTAGTGCAAACCTTATGAGGAAAATAATCTGTTCAAGAGTCAAAGCTACCTTCAAATGCCTTTGATATTTTACTTGTTGCAAGACTGACAGACACAGCCCACCCACAATTGCCGATGTTACAGGGTTACAGGATTTCTAATCATGAAAATCGGCTACATGCTGGCCTTAAATCAGAACACTGTGAAAGAGAATTATCTTCTCTCCTTAGAAATGCTGAGAAATCTGTCGTTTTTGAAAGTGGGCAAACTGAAATTCTATCAGAATGCAGACATTTAGTCATTTATGCAGCACGGCTTTTCTGAGTTAAGTTTAGTGAAGTCTGAATTGTTTCTGGGGAAAAGAATATTTTAATGTGCTTTTTTTACTTTCAGTAAAGTTCTAAGCGGATTAGAGAAGAAGTGGAGAGAGAGAGAGCTATTCTGAAGTAATAAATTTAAACTGTGAGACATTACAAAATAAGAATGTTATAAAATATTCACATATTCCTATAGAAAACTTACTTTATACTAATTTCAAAGTAAGACCCCACAATTTATCCAGATTTATGTAATATACATTTTGCCACTGGCTACATCTTCAGTATTAAGTTGTTTTTTTTTTTTTTAGTCTTAAAAACCACCCTGTAGCCCACAAAGGTATACATCAATTATATGTATACCAGGAATCATTATTTAAATTTCCTAAATAATAAATAAATAAATCTAACAAGATCCAAAGGGGGAGAAAATACTATTTGGTATGAAGGTTTCTTTACAAAAGCTTACTACAACATAGATGTTTTGAAGCCTTGGTATTTTTAGGTAGGTAGAAAGTAGGAGGCTCTTTTCATTCTTAGGCGTGTAAAGCACAAATTACATTTTAGTTTCAATCCATTGTTTCCCTTTCTTACTTGAAATTAGATGAGTCACAAGTATTCTGTTAAAGAAAAATCTAGTCTGCTTGAAAAAGCCGAGCACAAATAAGCATAATGAGTGACCAGATCCTTTAAAACGAACAAAAATGCCCTCATGACTTAAATGAAGAGTTGCTTTTTTAACAGCATTTACAAAGAAAAACACTGATGGATATTTTCCACCTTCTACTAAATCCACAATCTCCAGTAAGGTGAGACAAATGTGTAGAGAGTTAAAAACAATAAGGGCCAGGCAGTGGTACAGCAGTAAATCGACTGAACTCTTATGGGATAGGTCTCGGGTTCATGTTCCACAACCGCCCTGAGCACACCCATGATCCAGTCCAGCTGAGCCTGAGGGTGGATCATAGCGTGAGGGCCCTGTTAAAAGTGTCTCTCTACCTGGCTCACTCTCTCTCGGAATAAATAAACTTTTTAAAAACAAATAATAAATTATATTTATTTTATTTTTTAATTTGTCTCATAGTCTATATTATAATTATTACTCTTCTAGGCCAGTAGTTTGCAACCAGGGAAAGCGTTACCCTCTGAGGGAAATTTGGCAATGTCACAGACATTTTCAGTTCTTATATCAAGGGGTGGGATGCTACTGATATCTAGTGTTAGAAGCCAGTGATGCTCCCAAACATTTTACAATAGCACAAGGAAGAAATATCTGGACCAAAATTTCAATAGTGGTAAGGTTGAGAAACCCTCTACCCAGACCAAGAAATGAATAAGGAAGTCGTAGGAAGCAGTGGTTTCATTTTCTGTGATGGAGTCCAGTAGAACCATTTATGCTGTTTCATTATTGTGTTGTCATTGTTTTGCCTCGTTCAAGTCGATGAGAAGGTGCATAGGGCTAAAGCCACAGAAAGAGAAGTGTTATGTGCCCAATTGGTATTGCTTCATTCTAAAGAAGAGTTTAATTACTGTCTACAAAAAAGAATAAATGGGAACCAGCCTGTGGTGCGGATGCCGCAAGGCCAACTGCACCGTTTGAGTTCCAGACTCTGTGGCTTGAAAATCACCCCAGGCATGCATGTGCATGCCCAAAATTCCAAAAAGGAGAAACAGAGAAGGAATTGTGGTGTGATCAGTCCTCATGGGAGGAATCTCTGTCTCTCTCTCTCACTCTCTCTCTGTCTCTCTCGCTAGTGGGCACACTCTCTGACAAAAATTAAAATTGACAAAGAAAGAACAGGGACTAGCAGATGGCATAATGTTTACGTCGCTGGACTCCCACAGATTCAACCACAGTTCAAGTCCCAGACCTAGTAGCTTAAAACTCATGCTGGGCATGTGTTCATGCATGCCCAAAATCCCAAGAGGAGATTGCAGGAGAAGGGACTATGGTGTGGCCATCCCCCCTGGGGGGGTGATTTTCACTTTCTGTCTCTCTCTGGCAAGCACATACACCCTATAGCAAAAAAAAAAAAAAAATCTCTCTAAGGAAAAAAAAAACCGTCAAGAAAGAAAATGGTAGAAAAATATTTTTTAGTGGATAAGCCAGTGTCATGGCAGTTAAGGCAGATGGATTTCACTTGGCTGACTGTGTGGTTCAATTCCTGAACATAGCAGCTTGAAAAACATGCACAATATCCTGACAGGAGAAATGGAGGAGAAGGGATTATGGCATGGCCATTGCCCTAGG